CTTTAACTGCCCTGGCTCAATGCTAGGGAATTCTGGGAAGTGTAGTTTGCGGTAGCCCCAGAGCTCTCTTACAGAAAGCTAAAATGTCTCACAGAACTAGTTCCCAGAATTCCCTAGCATTGAGCAGGGCAGTTAAAGCAGTCTAAATTGGATTATTTATGCAGTGTAACTTGGACCTAGCAATCTCTAGGTCCTCCAGCACAACTACTTTAAGGCTGCAGTCACACTGCCGAAAGAATCAGGTTGGACACCACTTTAACTGCCATGGCTCAAAGCTATGGAATTCTGAGAATGGTAGTATTCCCAGAATTCCCTAATATTGAGCCATGGCACTTAAAGTGGTGTCCAATCTGATTCTTTCGGCAGTCTGGATGCAGCCAAAGTTGACTACAACAGTTAACTGGAGGACCTACACAGGCTGGCCTCATCCCTGGTTTTCTTTTCTCGACAAGGAGACATTTCTGTTCAAGCAGGCTTTCAATATATGTCGTGTCAGAGAGGCCTTTATACAGGATGTGGGCTTTAGTTATGTTTTTAACGTTTGCATGTTTATGGTGTGTTCTACTTTTTTGTTAGTTGATGTTAATTGGTTTTTAAATGTTTGTTGTAAAAATTTTAAATAGTGTTGTGAGAGAAAGGGGGCACAGAAATGAAATTAATAGAGAATTGTTTTTTCTAGGTCCTGCATGGCTCTATGGTCAACGTCCAGCAGAGTTGCACTGGAAGACCAAGAGATTCCTTGCTGTGTGCCTTCAAGTCATTTCCGAATTATGGTGATCCTAAGGCAAACCAATCACCTATCGCAATGTGCTCTTGGTAAGATTCAGAGCTGGTTTGCCATTGCCTTCCCCTGAGGCTGAGAGTGTGTGACTTGCCCAAGGTCCTCCAGTGGGTTTCTGTGGCTGAGCTGGGACTCAAACCCTGCTCTCCTAAGTTGTAGTCCAACACTAAAACCACTACGCTATGCTGCTGGCTGTCAGAGAACATCTATACTGTATATCAGATCCGTGAATAATCAAATCTACAAAAGTCAAAGCTGCAAATGCAGGGAGCCAACTGTAGAATAATAATAACAACAGTTTATTTATATCCTGCCTTTAGCAGTAGCATTGGCTACCAGGCATGGGAATTGCACAGCCCTCCAGATGTTGGACTGCAGTTCCCAGCAGCCCTAACTTTTCAATGGTGATAAACTCTGGGAATGGCATTTTGGCATCTGGAAGCCCACTCAGTGC